TTGAGAAAATTTATGGTACTCTATTATCTCCGGAAGAAAATGTTTTTACTAGACTCGTACAGATTTATTTCAGGTATAATGTAAATGCATGTAAAAAAACTGCGCGTGCAATTCGCAAATTATACTCGTCTAATATCTCAAAATCTAATTAAATATAACGCAACATAGGTACAAGAAATATATTTAGTATTATCATTAGATCATTAGATTTATTATTATCGTGATATGTAGTTTTTTCCGTATACAAAATTCATGAGCAATGATTTGTTAATACTATTGCATTGATTAGTATATGATAATTGATAGGGGAATATTTCCTTACATATTATTTCGCGTGCAGTGTAACGTCATTGAATTGAAGTTGGAATGGCAAGAAAATTATTGACAATAACCTGAAAATTTGAGAAAAATCCAATAGGAATATAAGAAATAACGAACAAAGCTACTCCCAACAACTTGCAACAAGGACTTTCGCTCGAAAATCCAAGTTAGAGAACAATATAAATGTATGATAAAGATATGTGAAGTGAAGAGAGGTATAGAGAGAGAGAGAGAGAGAGAGAGAGAGAGAGAGAGAGAGAGAGAGAGATAATGGGAGCGATAAACAGCTTGAGAAAAACAAAATTTGCCGAGTCTTAGTGTCGCGAAACAATGGAGGGAAAAAAGAAGGGATAGATTACAGTAGAATCACGAGTACTTCCTCCTACTGGTTTGCTTACACCCACTGCTCCCGGGTGTCTCTTATATTGAGCTCCAGACTCATACGCTGGGACGACGCTTATTATTGTGGAAAAAAGGGCCTCGGATGAACGCAGACAGCACCAATGTCCGGAAATAGTTGAACGAGGGGCGACAGGGGGAGGAGGATATGCACGCGAGGTTGGAAAAGGGAAAGCCGGTGGCCAATGGGAGCTTAGGCGTAAATTTATCGACCATCTGACCCATGCTATGACTTTACACGCTCCGACGCCTGCGAGTTCCTTCCTCCTGGTGTCACCGCTTTAGATTCGCAATGAAATTGCCTGGAAATGAGAATGTTGAATGCGAGGGATTTGTCTGTGAAACTTAAGGGCAAAGTTGGTGTAATAATCGGGATGGAAGATTGCATGGGCCGGGGATGCGTCACATTTGTTGATTAATCATTAGGCGGCCATTGTCTCCGTGTGCTGCGTAAATGAAAGCTTAATTTCAGCTTTAGAGAGGATTCGCGCTCGTCCAGTGTATATATACTCTGCTGCTTTATTATTTATCGCAAGCGTTAGTGTGCGAGTAGCCTTAGGGCGTTAAAACAAAAATAGATAAATAAATAAATATAATAAAATAAAATAAAATAAAATAAAATAAAAAAAAATATCCTTATTTACATAATGCTTTGGTTAAAAGGATAAGTTTGCGCTGTAGGTAGGCTAGGTGGTGGTAAGGATGGTTTACGCTGTAATTTTAATTATATTATATGATCCAAATTTGCGTTTCAAACGTAACTGTATCACGTCTAATCAATCATTATTATTCCCAAAGTGTCAAGATGTTAAAGTGTTGAAGTAATAAAAGTAAAGGTGTAAGAGTGGAGATCGAAGCGATTAGTCGTCAGTAGGAAAATTTCTATTCCCACTGGCCATTTATTACAAATGGCCTATCTAACTAATGCAACAATTACTCAATGTTAAATAGAAAATTTCAATTCAATTACATTTTTATAAAAAATATCACATTTCGATGCGTGCAATTCGAATAGCCTTAATTTCTTCAATATTTTTTGCCTTGTACAATCTTTTTATTATCAAATACATAGTATAGGGATGTATAGAAAGTAAATGCTCGTTGCGTCAATTAAAAATAAAAGGCCAAAGAAAATAGAAATTTAAAAGTCTTTCTGTCTAGCACTGTCTACCGACTATAGATGGCTCATGACTTTGGTCGATTTAGTTTCAGAATTGTAGTTTTAGATTTAGTTTTAGAATAGTAGGTTACTTCGTCAAATCCTTCGCACATTGCAACAAATGTGCTTTTATTTGGATTTGAAATATACAGGTTTGATATAATAGCCCATCCATCCAACCAACCCATCGTTGGTTAAGTACACAAGTTTTAAGTAAATATAACAGTGACTCGCCGCCATGAGGTCGATCAAATGATTCAACAACTTATTAAAAGGAACGTGTAATAGAGAAAAAGAAGAAAAACAACAAAAACAAAAACAAAAACAATAACAAAAAAAAATCAAAATCAAAATCAAAATCAAAAAGAAAAACAAAAAAAAAAAAAAGAAAAAACAAGAAAAGCCATCCGCCAATGAAAGGTGGGGGACAATAGAGGAGAGAATATTCAGGATGATTATATTGAGAAAATGATTGTTGAAAATGAAAAGAGCGGTGTCGACGATGATGTTTGTGGATTCGGGAGGTAAATAGAGCGTCGAAGCGCGCGCGCGCGCTCAAAACGAAGCCAGGGAGATGGCTCGAACAACCCCTTGCGCATCGGTACGGAGTAACGCTATTAGAAAAATTCAACAGACATCGAAGCCATGAATAACGGCAGCCAACGCTCCCAGCTTCATGTCAAACAATAATAGCATCAATTCCATAATCCAGCCCGTAGATCACGTCGGGCGACCAGTCCGGCAACCCCCTAACGATGGACCGCATCGCAGAGCAAAGAAAAAAGCTCCGGAGAAAATGCCCCCGTCCCAAGAGTTCGCGGCTCCCTCCATCGTGGTGGGCAGTCCCAGTCCCCTCCCCCCCCCCCCCCCCCCCCCCAACGATAACGATAACGATAACGATAACGATAACGATAACGATAACGATAACGATAACGATAACGATAACGATAACGATAACGATAACGATAACGATAACGATAACGATAACGATAACGATAACGATAACGATAACGATAACGATAACGATAACGATAACGATAACGATAACGATAACGATAACGATAACGATAACGATAACGATAACGATAACGATAACGATAACGATAACGATAACGATAACGATAACGATAACGATAACGATAACGATAACGATAACGATAACGATAACGATAACGATAACGATAACGATAACGATAACGATAACGATAACGATAACGATAACGATAACGATAACGATAACGATAACGATAACGATAACGATAACGATAACGATAACGATAACGATAACGATAACGATAACGATAACGATAACGATAACGATAACGATAACGATAACGATAACGATAACGATAACGATAACGATAACGATAACGATAACGATAACGATAACGATAACGATAACGATAACGATAACGATAACGATAACGATAACGATAACGATAACGATAACGATAACGATAACGATAACGATAACGATAACGATAACGATAACGATAACGATAACGATAACGATAACGATAACGATAACGATAACGATAACGATAACGATAACGATAACGATAACGATAACGATAACGATAACGATAACGATAACGATAACGATAACGATAACGATAACGATAACGATAACGATAACGATAACGATAATGATAACGATAACAATAATAATCAGGCTTTTACGAAAATTATAATTCCTGGCCAAATTGCCTTTTCATTCGTTCACGTGCCAATGCACGTCAAATACGCGTACTCCGGGTCGTGGAACGTTCGTTCCCAGGCATTAGAAAAGCTTAAGTGCCGCTGTTAATGAGCTGCTTCGAATAATAGGTGAGAGATAACTTTGGCACTCATCCGGCGCCGTTGTACGATCATACAAAGCCATAATTGTTGTGTGATTATTTTCGGCAATACCGTGTGCTCACTCGGGGCGCATGCTCGAAGCGCCATTAGAGCAATATCGTGCTAAAAATATAGTGCTCGCGGGAAATATATAACAATACATGTACAAAAGGTAAAATATAAGGCAACGGTGATATGATGTTGGGCCTTGAGCCTCGAAGGAAATCATTTTTTGAGATAAATTTTCATCCTCGCTTGAAGAATTGAGCTCTGACATTCTAGAGATCGCGTTAATTTTTGAAATTATACTTGCCTGAGAATTTTGTGAATTTATAAGATCTTAATGTTCTTTTAACTGCAAAGATTTTTACTCTTCGTCACATCAAAAATCTCATATATCATTGCAATGGCATTACGATTATATGACTACAACAGCAGCAACAACAACAATGACGACGACGACGACGACGACGACGACGACAATTACAGCGACAACAACAACAACCACAGCCAAAACATTCATAAAAAAAGCTGGGAGCAATAGCGACAACATTAACACAGCAATAGTACGAACAATAACAACAGCAGCAACAGCAATAATATGAATGATAATAAACGATAAAAGCAATAAAAACGATATGCAACGACAGCAATAACAATAACAAAGACAATAACAATAAGTAAAATAATAATATCGCTAATTTGGGGACGTCGGGAGGGACATTAATGCTAATCCCGTTGAATAGAATCTACAATTGTTGAAAAGATATCTATAGAATCGTACGTTTTCCGATCTCGCAGTGATTTTCTTCTCACCTACACTTTCAGCGATAAATCTTAAACTTTAATATGCAATTAAAGTTGTACGTCAGTTTTAACTCGCAATCGAAGTTAAATAATTTTTATACGCATAACCGATACTTGCGATCTCTTTTCCAACATATCCAACAATTTTCGTGCTATTTCTTTTACACGAGATAACCGAAGGTTCTTAAGATATTCCAATGATAATTGTTCTGTGTTATGTAATAATAAGGAAAGGTTAATCGAGCCTTCAAAAGTGATCTCAGATTTTTTAATGAATAGGCATTATTATATTGCCGACGTTAATGGTCGCTTCGATAAATCAATCGCACACGTTGAAGAAACTTTGTGCAACTTTGTTTTGCTCATGTAATATTTTTGCGTTTAATTGCAGCGAATGAATAATAAAACGTTATCACCTCGTTAATATCTAGAATAATTAACGAAACGAATATTTCCCCTTATTCGTAATAATAAAATGCTCAAACGCAACATCGCGTCGGGAATAATTAGACACTTGGTAAAGCCAAATACATCAGCGCTCGCTCCTCCTCCAATTTTTCGCAATTCAAGCTAATTTTCGCTTTCCCCAGGTTAAATACACCGGCTACCGGGACAGACCGATCGAGGAGCGCCAGCTTCGCTTCCAGAACGGATGCCGCGAGGGCCACACGGAAATCGCCTTCGCCGCCACGGGCACGAACCTCCAGCTCGTGTTCGGCGTCAGCTCCGGGAACTTTGCCGGCGATCCGCGCGAATGCGATTTCGACAAGGAGCATGGGAAGGTAAGCACACCCGACTGAGTGGCTTTAACTCCAGGCGTAGTCGCGCGGGGCCCGAGATCCGCGAGTGGGGGTGTGAGGCTGTGAGGCTGTGAGGCTGTGAGACTGAGAGGGTAGGGGGTAGGGGGGTAGTGGCGTGATGGAGGCGGTGAAGAAGGAGGGAAGGAGGATGGGTAGGTAATGGGCAAGAGGTCGGGATGGTAGAACAAGAAACCGATGTAAGCTACTTCCTTCGTAGTGGCAATACTAAATACATTAATCCTGCATCACCACCCAACAACCCAATTTTCAATTCCTCCCTGCCACTCGTTTTTACCTCACGCTCGGACCATAGCGTTGGTAGCGCAATTATTGGAATAATCTTTTGATGATTTTCCAATCGATCGGTTAGTCTTCGCTCGTCTGCAAAGCTTGAGATTCTTTTTAAGCGGCACCTTTAATCTTCCTTCGATCCGTCAGATTGGATTTCTGAAAAGTTGCAATATTGAGATAATCACGAGACGGACTCCAGCCGCTTATCTTATCTTATTTTTAATTATAAGCTACACGATGCGATCGCGTTATTTATTTATTCTTGTACTTGTTGTTATTGTTGTTGTTGTTGAGTTTTTATTGTTTTCGCGAAGGATTTATTCATTCGAACAGCAGAGCAAAAGTAGATAAATAAATATCGTGGAATCGAAAATAATGCGCATAACGGGAAAGAAAAGAATTACATCAATTTTTAATAACTACATTTGGTATGATATTTATGAAAGGTGGAATAGTGGCACATGCACACACACACGCGCGCGCGCGCGTTCAACAAGAGGTTATTAGCACGAGGCTATGACAAAGTTTTTTACGCAATTAGAAATAAGGATTGATAACGTCGATCCATGTAATAATAAGCATTTAATCCACAATATTTTAGTGCTTCGAGACAATTTTGTATTAAGACTCTTCTCTAGCGAATATAATATACCTAATCGTTGGATTATGCTGAAAGATATTTCTTCAACTCTATTCTATTGTCTCATAAATATAGTTTCTAGATATAATGTAAAACACAATTTGCAATCAACATCCGAAAAATCGAAAAGCTATAGGTTATTCTTACAATTTCACTCCTGTTTCTATTTATTTTTATTATTATTTTATTTTATTTATTTTTTTTTTTTTTTTTTTTTTTTTTATCAACCAAATATACGCTTGTAATTACGTAGCGGGAAGTGAGAATGTAAAACGTGAAAAACAGATCATTTGGAAGAGTGATCGATCGCAAGCGTAGCGAAACATATGTATACATCTTGATAGCTCGATTGAAATTAACGCGAATTCTGTAAAAAAAAAAAAAAAAAAAAAAAAAAAAAAAAAAAAAAAAGAAAAGAAAAGGAACATTATCGTGTACAGGGCGACCGAACTTTCTATCAAGATAAAGCAACCCAATCGACGATATTTAAAGCGATAGAAAGTGAAAGGCCATTTATTAAATAAAGGTCTGGAGCGGTGCCGTTATCGCGCGAGGCCAGGGCGGAGGAGAAGCAAAGGCGCCTCAGACGGGAGATATGTGGCCGAGGGTTGGTGAAAGAACGGCAAAGAAAAACAAAAATTCCAAATGCATGCGTCGCCGGCCGTCGTGCATCCGAAATCTTGAGGAAAATTGAGAACGCAGTCAATATATCACGCATCGACGCGAGCCGACTGTAAAACCATTTTCCTTTCCCGAGACAGCAACGTCCGGCCACGTCGTCTGCCTCCCTCCCCCTGTGGCGAGCACGAGCCTCGGTCATCTCGGAATTCACCCTCCGCGGGGGTTCGCACTCCACTCTCCACCTCCTTCGCTACGTCCTTTTCCTCGTTCTCCTCATCGCCATCCCCTTCACCGTATCCCCCATCCCCCCCCTCAACGTTTCCTTTCCCTTATTCCCGTCCTCTTCCTCGTCCTTGTCGTTCGTTCCCGTCCCCACCCTTCCTCCCCACAACATCTTTCCGGGAAAGTCAAGTTTTACGAGGCAGGCCTTTGTCCCCCGTTTCGAGGCGACGCTCCACGTCGTCGTCGTCGTCGTCGTCGTCGTCGTCATCGTCCTGGGACGTCCTAATTGGGAGCCGAGTGTTGATAGATGGGAGGGCCGCTCGTTCGATTTACATTACGCCCGACAATAAAAGGTAGTTAGGACGAGAGAGTGTTGTGTACAGCTGCTTACGTGGGCGAGGGCTCGCCAGGGAAGTCTGCTACGGATACTTCAAGGGCTACGGCCGATTTCCTCCGCTGTAAATTGTATTTTCTTATAATTGGATTATCCGCTTTCACTACGGATTAGCCTACGCTTACCAATTTTCTCTTATTCTGGCGACTCCTTGGCAACGTATATTGTCAGCATTAGGCCCGACTTCCATAAATTTCACAATTGTCCGCTGAAGCCTTGCAAGTGCAGCGTTTGACCGTTTTGATTTGACCGTGACATTGATAGGAGCCAATTTCAGTTGAAACTGAATTTAAGATATATTGCTCGGTTAATAATATAAATATACAATTTTCGGCAAACTCTTCGTCATAAATTAATCAAACACTTAATGACGAATGAGGAAACGTGGAGCCAAAGGGCGGGAAGATGGTGGAGGCTCATTAAATTAAATTAGCTTTCACTCCGCTTATTATTATTATTATTATTATTATTGTTGTTGTTGTTGTTCTTGTTGTTGTTGTTGTTGTTCTTGTTGTTGTTGTTGTTGTTGTTGTTGTTATGACTTTGAACTTTAAAAAGTAATCGCTCGGTGATAAATAGCAAACTATCGTCAAAGAAAAAGGAAAGAAAAAAAGTTCTTTCTCAACAACGCGAATCGAATGCTTTATTAATGCACACTTCGAAAACTCTGTAAACTCTTATCGATTTTCAATTTTAAAATACATTGCCATCGCAACACTCGTCATATATGTCGAGAGGGAAGCAATCTGCCTGCTTTCACTTTACAAATAGTCGCGAATCTGATTTTTCTTGTTTGACAATAAGGCGAAAAGGGAAAAAGTAGCGGAAATGTTCAACGCAATAAACAAAATCAAAAAATAAAAGAAAAGAATGAAAGAAAGAAAGAATAAAAGAAAGCAAGCGGCCTTTCGAAAACGCCGCGAGCATTCCGGCAGTGGAGCAACAATCGATCGCGTCGGTCCGTCGTAAAATTCGCCGATGCTAGGGGCGCGTGCGCAGAGGAAAGGGGGCGAGTTCGCGAAATTGCGTCCGTACGGGGGAGGCGATGCCCCCGACACAGGCGTCGGAACGCCAGTCGCCATCGCGATCGATACGGCGGGCTGACGCTTTGCCGCCATTTTATACCGGCGAGTCGCTCCTATTAGTAGTTGCGAGCGTGAAATTTCATATAGCAAGTGACGATTTTGCTCGTCTCGTCTCGTTAGCGACAATCAGGCGGAGGAGCTCCTTTTCTTTGGCCGAAAAACCTACAAAGGACAATACATCGGCTTTGCCCCGTAATGTAAAAATTTTATAACGTAGAAATTGCCTCGGAAAATAGTCGGGACAATGTTAACAGTGTCTGATTCGTTTCATCTTTACTTCCTTAACATTCTACGATGAGGCATTAATGATCGTGGCTACGATTGCCAAATTAAAATTAATTAAGTAAATTCAAGCGTCAAATTCGTCGGATCATTCGTCGAAAAATGAAGAAAAAAAAACGTTTGTCATATTGAAAAAAAAAAAAAAATAAATAAATAAAAAAAAAAATAAAAAAAAAAAAATTAAATAATAAAAACAAAAACACATAGACATACATGGTTTTACGAATGAAAAAAAAAAAAAAAAAAGAAATTATAAAAACACGTAATTACGATATTTCCTAGCTCCCTGTATGTACAGTCTCCGTTGCTAATGTGAAAAAGACTTGTTGCAGCGCGTACAGCTGCAGCTCTACATACAACAAAGCAGTATCAATTATTTTTATCGCCAAGAGTTGCGCAACATCGGTGCGTTATCGACAATTTTATCAATTTGAACAATTAAAATGAAATCCAAGCTTTAATTAATAAGCGTCGCGTTTTCTCGGAGCGACGCCGAACGATTGTAAGCGTCGACCCACGCGACGCTTAATGCGCAAAGCGCATAGCTGCAACTTTTGACTTTGTCGTGTAAAGGAAGCGAAATCAAGAGACCGAACCGTATAATTTATCAGAGAATGAGCGGCGGATATATTTACGTGACTCTACGAAATAATCAGAGCTTAAAGGAGAGCGAGAGGAGGCCTGTTTATTATGTGCCCCTCAGGGGCCATATGCTCTCTCGGAAGTTCGGGAAGCGAAAAGACGCAGGCGACGACGAGGACATCGACTGGTCCTTGGCAATTTGAGTCAATTAGCACTTTCGAAGGGCCAGATGCCGCTCCTTCGAGGAACGTGCGCTACCCATAAATCTTCGTACAAATTCTTGGGCGCGTGTTGCGCGCGACGGATGCATTTTTCCTCGTGCTGTAGCCCAGACGGAGCGGATACTCCTTTTTATTGTGGATTTGCCTTCCTCCCTCGGACCCTCCGAATAGCCTCTTTTGTGCTTCGGCTGGATACTCGGTATCGATATTTTGACGTCTCTCAAACGGATTTACACTAGCAGCGAGCAGCTTATAATAAGGATAATTGATCGATCATTTTTCAATGGCGTACTTTCACTGCTGAACCACCCGAAGTGCTTGTGCATCGTTCTATATCCTCGTCTGTTCTATATTCCAAAGCACGGCAATCTCCTATCAATTATATCACATTCGCGCCTGATCAATTAGATAATTATGTCCGTATGGAGCTCTGTAGAATTAACTAAAATTACTATGGAGATGCAAAGTCGATGAGGAACGGGTAAGAAGGCACGTACAAGGATAAGGGACAAACTGTTGCTTTTCAATTATTAAGACGTGCTTGTTGCCCGCAATTTTAATACGTCTATTATCACAATATATTCTATCTCGACAGTCGTGTCGGGACAATTGTCGTGAACATTTGTTTTAATTACAATACCGAA